GGAGACAGAATTACTTTCATTGATGTTAGCATGAAGAATCAAAGACTGGAAGTAAGTCTCAGTTATGGAGTGCTTCCTAGCATGTGCAGGGCTCTACATTCAGTCCTGAGCTCTACAAAAATCAAACAAGTCTCAAGTGCTAAGAATCCAAGGTCATGGGTGCACATCCTGATATTCCTATTACCTAGTATATTCCTTAGTGTTGGCTCAGGCATCCTATTGCTTCTGAATTCCAGATGCTGCTATCAGCAAATTATTCTGTATAGTGTACTGGAAATACTGTAGCTTTGACTACAACAGGATACAATGAACAATTGCACTGCAAACAAAATTTATGAATTTGTATACTACACATGTCCCTTGTGCCTATGGATAAAAATATACTGATAATGACAAGGAACTAAAAGATTACACATTTCAAAACTATTAAACAATTCATAAGGCAAGAGATTAAAAAAATAAAAGTAACTTCATATACCAAAAAAAAAGGGCCAACCAGTCCCAAAGGGAAGCAATGAGAAGAGAAAAAATATTCCAAGATGTGATGGGCCAGTCTGCAGCTTCCTGAAAATGACCTAAATGGTATAAGAACAGTAAGACCCCGACTGTAGAGGCTTCCTATAGCCATTTTATTATTTTTCCCTCATATACTGAGTGAACATTTATATACAAATGTAAATTAGCTTACCTAAGAAGCACTTCAGGAAGAGGAACTGGCCTCCTCTTGATTGACCTAGTTCTGTCGCTTTAAGAACTGTTGTGGAACACACCTGTATGTAAATCACCATCATTATGGGCTGAATTGTGCTCCTACCTCCAATTCAGTATCCCCAGGAACTCAGAATAGAACCGTATTTGGCGATAGTTATGTTAGCTAATGACGTGGATGGGGCTGTTATGGTGGACTCTTAAGCAGCCTGACTTTTGTTCTTAGAAAAGGAGGGAATTTAGATGTATATGGTGACACTTAAGACTGTATGAGACCTATGAGAACAAAATGAGTTATCACTAGAAGGTGATACTCTGGAGGAGAAATTAAATGATTGACATGTGACCTTGGACTTCCAACCTCTAGAGCTGTCAGCACTCAGGCCTCTAGGTAGCTGATAGAGGACTATTTTGTTATAACAGCTCTAGAAAACTCATGCCCTATCTTAAGACCACAGTAACGACTGCAATCTTTTTTGTGAAGAAGCGTTTTAGTCTTATGCATATTGCAGGGAAAGGTAGTAGAGGGAGGAAAATCAATGATTTACCTCAATTTGAATGCAGATCACAAAGACTTTTAATCTCCTAATGGGAGATTAGAGGCAAGGTTCTTCAATAATTAAATATCACAGTTGAGTGTGAGGAAGGGAGGAATGACAGGTGACTCATTGTAAGAGACATGGTAACCTTGTTGTTCTCCCAGCCCCTAGAGAAGAGAAGCCTCAGTTCCCTGAGCAACTTAAATGCTACAGTCAGTGGATGTACAGCTCTGGGTGGCAGGGACACTGACACTTAAAATGTTATAGGGAAACTATAAGTATTTTCTTTTTAAAGCCTCTTTTTTTTCTTGTTCATGGTATGTTTCTGGGGTATATTTAAATTTTCAATTTGAATTGTTAAAGCAAGTAACATAAAATTTATATTTACTATGTAAATTTGTACAAAAATCCTTCTCATTTAAAGGTACCCTTATTTCTCCAAATAATTTAAATATTTGCAGTGAAAAGCTTTTACAGTTGATGGCTGTACTGTATTGTATGATTTATGATCTCAAAAAAGTAATAATGCCTGCCTCAGAGAAGCTATGCCTCCTTATAGAAATTGTTTTAGTTACATTAAAATTATCAGTATAAAACTAAAAGAGAAAGAAAGAGAGATTATCAGTGCAAAAAATAAATGTAATTCTGGTCAAATATTCTACTTGGGACCTTGGTCTACAGCCATTTCCTCCAAGATTAAAATCATCCATTTTGGAGAGAAGCCCCTTAAAACACAGGATGTTGGAAATGTTAGATGACAGAATGCTCTAAGGGGAGAAGAAATACTCCATCTTTAATCTCAGGAAATAAGGACTGCAAAGGTTCAGGAAGTCTCTGAAACCAGATACATTAGGCTCCTCCCTCCCCAAGTCTACATAAGCTGCAAGGTCTCATAAGGGACTCTCAGACCAGCTGACCTGCCTCAAAGTGACATCAGCCAAACTGTCTGGAAAAAGCAGAGCTGCCTGGAAGAGACTCAGACCAAGTGAGCTATCTGGAAAGGACAGCCAGTTGAGCTGTGTGCAGGCTGTATAGTGTGCTACAGGTTTCCAGCTTTTGTGGTCTGTCACTCAAGCTATGATGAACTGTGGTGATGCAGCTGTCTTCGAGTCATTTCTGCCTCTGTAAGTAACCCCTCACCCATATTCTTAAAAGTATCCAAAACAACACTCACTGATTCACTAAATTGGGTTTTGGTGGTATCCTCACAAGTCTGTTGTCTCCTTCCAATCTGGGATGTGTAGACATTTGTTTACTTCTCTCCCAATACAGTGTCATACCTCAGACCTCATTATAAATGTTCTTAAAAAGTTGCTGAAGAAATGCATGCAGTTGGGAAAGATGGATTTATGTTATCTGGCTGCTGTAACAAATTACAATAAATGGAACAGATTCAAATATCACACTCTTTTTCAGCTCTAGAAGTCTAAGGTCCACATCCTTTGCATTGGTCAAAGTCAAAACAATCATGCTTGTTCCTTTGGCAACTGAAGAGGGAATCTGTTTTGTGTTAGTTTTGCTTTCTCCAGTCCTTAGAACACACAGTTCTTAGCACAAGGACCCCCTTTCCACACTCAAAGCTGGGATCCTAACGGCTTTGGTCACATCACCACCTTCTTTGGGATTTTTCTACCAGGACTTTGTTATTGCAGGAAGCTCCTCTGAATGATCCAAGATACACCCCTCTCCACATTGCAAGATCTGTCTCCTCATCTCTGCTCCAGTCCATTTTGTCAAGTTAACATTCATACATTCTTGGGGTTGTGTCATGGACATGCCTTAGGGCATGCCTATTCATCTTAGAGTGGGGCAGGAAGGGAAGGAAGGCTGGAAAAGCTTTCAGACAACACTTCCATGTGGTGACAACATTAGATATTTCTCCTCACCACGCATTTGCCATGGCAATTCTGAACCCTCCAGAAAGGTCATCTCATATAATCTGTAAAATCCGTGGGGGAGGGCCTAGCATTCAGCAGACACTAATGGGTTCACATAGGCATGCCTGGGAGACCACTGCCCACTCACAGAGAGAATGCAGCAGTGCCAGCTTTTATGCTCTTACAGTCTGGCTGCACCCAGAGCCACATGGCTCTAAGGCAATGTCTGTCCTTCCAAGTGACCTGCTATACACCTTCCCAGTGACTCTATAATCAACGCATTTTATAAGCACAATGAGAAGCAGTAGACCCTCTCTGAGAGTGCCAGAATCCTTAGAATTAGAAAGACTTGAAGGTTTATATTCTGACTCACCTTACATCATAGTGGAGGAATTCCAGGTCTCACTGCAAATTAAGAAATAAGCTGACATTGAGAGATTAAGTGTCTTACTGAGGTTATACATCTGGGGTTTTTTTTCTACTTTAGGCTAAGGATTTTTCACTCAACATTCTACAGACCATGTGATGACTGAATCATGTCCCTAATACCTTGCAGCTCAGATGATAACCATATTTGTAGGGAGATCATGTGAAGAAAGAATTGAGGTTAAATGAGGCCTATGGGGTAGAGCTCTCATCCAATTTAGCTGGTGTCCTATAAAAAGAGTCAACAGGGATACGTATACACAGAGAAAAGGACACATAAGGACGTGGTGATAAGGCCACCATCTGTGAGCCTTGGCTGACAGAGGCCCCAGGAGAAACAAACCCTGATGAGTCAATGAAATTTAACATGAAAAATGATCTGGAGATAAGAAAATATGACAATAACCCAATAACACAAGTAAAGGGAACTTTCCCTAACCTAACCTTGATGTTGGACTAGTAACTCTGAAAAAAAATCAATTTTTAGTGTTTGAACAATTCAATGTGTGGTGTTTTCTTATTGAAGCACTAGAAAACGTGTACATTGCAGTTAGGCTACAAGCCTTGGAAGCAGCTAACCATGTCCAAGTTCCTGGGTCTTCTCATAGTGAGAAATCAAAGTTCTAAATAATTTTCAACATTTGTAAGAGCATGGAAGTCATATACAAACTATGAAAGAAGCAGTCTTCCTGGTTGGAAAGATGCCAAATTAATACAGTAGCTGAGCTGTCTCATGCTAATAGTGACATATGAGTCTGATTAATTTAAATGTGAAGACTGTTTATCATTTAATAAAGTTAATTTGTTTGGTAAATAAAAACCTGAGGCTTTTTGATGATGAGACCATTAGGCATGAACCGTTGCTTTCTGCTCTGAGTTGTTTTATTTAGATCTTCCAAGAGACATGCTGCCTGATCCTCTCCATATTTCTGGACCACTTTGTGGGGAGAGACTTGCAAATGATGTCATGGGTCACATTAGGCATGCTGGGAACCACTGTGCTGAGATTTGGGAGTACCACTAACATTTGTGTGCTGTGGGGGGGGGGTTGATTATTTTCCTGGGAAGTCAATGGAAATTAGATTAAAACCATCTCAAGATAACAAAGTATGAAAGTAACCTAATAAAAAAGCAGCTGGCAGCACTTGGGAAGCAGAGACGGGCTGATCTCTGTGAGTTCAAGACCAGTGTGGTCTACAGAGTGAGCGCCAGGACAGGTCCCAAAGGTACAGAGAAACACTGTCTCAGAAAAAAAATAAGAAGAATAGAAAACAGCTGGGCATCTCTTTAACCCAACAGAAGCAACATTTTAAAAAAGTCAGAGCACACATAAACCACAATATTAAACACCATCAATAGAGTATAGCAGAACGTTTGCAAACCATTATTTTAAGCAGAAATGTACATTTTATTTAAAAATAATAGCAAAGGTATGAAGACCACACACTTCTATGAATAACAGCAGTTTATTAAATGTTTTTATAGTAAAATATTGAGCTTATTATATTGTAACACACAGGCTTGAGGTTCTACGAAGCAGAGTACCTTTCAAGAAAGAAGTTATCTCTGTAAACACAGGGTGGGATTTTGGGCAGTCACTCTTACCGATGTACTCTTTCTGCTCTTCCTAGCAATGGCAATATTCAGAGATGTTTATGCTTTGGGGAAAACCAGTAAAATTTCCTGAGTATTCCATTTGACATTTTTCAAAAGATATTTTTATATGTATAAATGCCTGCATGTATACATGTATGCCATATGCATGCCTGGTGCCCACGGAGGCCAGAGGAGAGTGTTAGATCCCCTGAAACTGGAGTTGCAATGATCGTGAGCCACCCATGTGGATGCTAGGCATAGGATCAGGGTTCTCTTTAAGAGCAGCAAATGTTCTTAACTGCTGAGTCGCCCTTCTAGGACCCCAGCAAACAATTCTGAAAACCATCTTACTTCCATGGAAAACATGAAAAACGTATGATGGAAACACCCAGTATTACTAAATACTGAAGTATTTAATATATTCAGTAAATTTGACCATTTAATATCGTTGAGAACCACAACCCTAAAAATTTCTTCAATCATTGGAAGGTCTTTGGAATGAGCAGGAGGTTTTCTATCACAAACTAAATTACAAGGCAGTTTATTAGGTTCTTTAACAACCAACCTAGTGGTATGTGGAAATATAAAGGAATGCCACAGTTAGCTGACTATTTTTCAAATAATAAAAAAATATTGGAGGGAAATAAGGATATGGGAATGAGTGGATACTGGACTATAGACAATAGCAGATGGCTAGAAAAAGTTAGATACTAGCAAATATTATCTCCATCCCTTAGGCAGCATTTTCTTTGCATGTGTCAACACAGAAATTCTACATACTCCATTGGTTCACACAATTTTCAAATCAGTTTGTGGAGAAGTTTTGCTTCTGAGGCTAACAGCTTTTTGATATCTATCCCCAAACCATGACCTTCTCAGCCATCGTTTCTTTTATTAAAATATCATCCCATCAGAACTGGTATTGAAAAGGAGCTACTGCCTACAAAGAGCTAAGAGTAAGATTTACAGCAGATGTAACAGAAATTGGTTCTCTTTTTGAGTGACACAAGCAATCCCATATAAAACAATAATTCAGAAAAAATCCATCTTAAGATTGCACTCACCCTCATTTACAAATGCATCTGTTGAGTATTGGACCTGAACTGAACACTTCTTGCCCACACTTTGGTACTCTACACTTTCTGCACTGGCCACTTCATTCCATGGAGATGATAATCGCAATAGGATTTAAAAGGAAAGCCAAGTTCTTAATATGAATGCAGGTATTTTGTCTTCACGTCAACAAAAGAAACCATGCTTTCAAAGAGCGAGAAAACAAAATCCCCCATGGTAACCTACAGTACCGCAGGTAAAGGAATCCATACATACAGCCGTCTTCATTACAGAATAAACCAACCATTTCTAACACACTACCATTTGATTTAAAAGGCTTAAAACCAATGTTTTAGGAAGGAAAACACTGGTGAAAATAGTATATCTATATATATCTCCTTCGAAAAACATCTATTTTTAAACACTAAAACCTGGTTTCAGAAGTTCCCCGCTTCAAGTTGTTACTCAAAAACTCATCGTGTTCAAAGCTCAAGTTGTTATGGGATCTTGATATCATAAGAAGTTTCTCTTTATTAGTGAAGTCTTTTTTGATCGCTGTTTGAGGAACCAGCAACCGATCCATGGGGTCCTCTTTGTTCTCCAGTTTCATATACCCTTTGCTGTTACTTCGATCCAGCCGAGGCCAACTCGGGTGTTTCCTTTGTTCTGCCTGCACTGTGAGCGTGGAGGGACCCCGCTCTAAGTCTAGGGATTTGGAGTGAGAGGAGAGGAAATGTAAGGATGTATTGGATCCAAACTGTCTTCTGGCAGCTCCAGGAGACAACAGCTGCCCAGTCCCGGGTCCCAGGGCCACAGAAGACTTGTATTGACTTGATAGGGATTCACCAACCGAATTGTTCCTTGGGAGTAATGTGCTGGAGGGCTGGAAGGACTCACTAGAGCTGGGCAGTGGGACCATAAGTGAATCCATCGAAAGATTCCTGGACCTGCTTTTGAGGTTGTCTGCGACCTCGGTGATGCTGTCTATGCTGGGCTCATCAATGACACAGTTATTAAGTTTGATCACAGGCAGTGTGAAAGCACTGATGGATGACGACACGATCGATTTGGTGTCACACTTCTTGGAACTGCTGGTCTTGTCATCGGTGGTCTTGGATGGAGGTGGATAAAGGCCAAAGACAGAGACTGCGCTGTCAGATAGCAAAGGGGGCATGAGATGCCCCAGGCTCTTACTTTCACTCAGCATCAGCTCATCCTCCTCCACCGAGCTGTCCACACGGAAGCTGTTGCGCATCCCTGAGAAAGACGCCAAGGTGGTGGCGGCCAGTCTGGATGCGCAGGGACTGCCATTCTGCTTCACCTCCGCATCTCCCAGCAAGCCCGCATACAAGCCATTCATCTGCTTCTGCTCCTTGAGTCTCAGTGTGTGGATGTCGATGACCGTGGAGTAGATATCCCTCATGTGGATGATTTTGGTTTCTTTGTCGCGGTTCTCATGAAGGATGGCGTTGGCACAGATGAAAATGAAGATGCCGATGCCCATAGTGAATGGGCCAAGCATCTTCATCTTGTCAGAGTGCAGATGCTGCTCAAAGAAGCGCACCACCACGCCGCCCTGGTTCCGAACCACCTGTGTCTCATTGGTGGACAGGGTGGTCTCTGCGTCAATGAAATGCTCCTTCTGGGGCCAGTATCCAAGCACTGCCATGGCGATCCCTATGATGGACACCAGCACTCCCAGAATGAGGAAAAACCCAGATGGAGAATAAAGCCGGATTTTCCCACGAACCACCACAACATCAGCACGCGGGCGCCTTCGGACTGGCTTCTGGTCCTGAGCAGCAGGCGTTGGGCTGAGGTTGACATGTTGCTGGGACCTGGCCGAGTCCTGCCGCTTCAGGGCTGCTAGACCAGTGATAACTCCCCCAGTGGCAATCATAGCTTCCTCTTGTGCTCTGAAAAGAAAGGAAACAGTCATGCACGGGTGTTCCTGGGGAGACTTTGCAATTCAGTTTGAGAGCCGCTTACTCCGGGACTTTGGTTGCTATTGGTCCACATCATAAAGATAGAAGAATAACTTTTAAATCCTCACAGTTGGGGAAAAGGTTATGTTGATTGACTAATGGGAATTTCTGGGGATTTTTATCTTTCTTCTCATAATGATGCCATATGAGCTCAAGAAATATTTTGTTTAAATAATTTTTGTCAACTAACATGTTAAGCCGTCCCTCGGTCACAAGTCCTCCCACCCCAGGCACACAACTTTCCATCATTATTTATGTCATTTCAATGAAATGGGGACTTGGGTAGAACGATTGGTCGGTTGGTAGCATCTGCCTTTCAAACACGAGGAACTAAAGTCATTTCTCCCCCAGTTCCGGATGCTCTGGCATGCTCACATGAGCCTGGCACTGGGGGAGGAGACAGGAGGAGCAGTCGGGCCCCAGGCCTCCCAGCCTAGTGGAACCCACCAGTTCCAGGCTAGTGAGAAGCTGTCTTACTGTAAGGTGGATGGCTTCCTGAACAATGGCACTAGAATTTGACCTCTGGCCACATACACACACACACACACACACACACACACACACACACACACACACACACACACACACCACACACACACACACAAAACCACACAAAAAAATAAAGATCACTGAACTGGCTGAAGGCAAGTCTCAGACATACCAAAAGAACACATTCCAAGCATCCATGGTGAAAAGTCACCCATGAACCCTTTCTGACAAACAAACAAACAAACAAACAAACAAAAAGCAAAACCACAACAACAGCATCAACAAAAAACCGCCCCCCAAAACTCATTTAGTTTCCCTTGAGTTCTCATCTTCTTATCTCCCTGCTCCCCTGGATATAGCTCTGGCCTCTTTTCTATGCAACCCCTCTCTTCCTGCATCTCCCGTCTCTATGCTGACCTCGCTATCTTCAACTTTGACTCTTCTTTCACCACAAAGTAAATCATTACCCCCTACAGTCCTGCCCTTGGCCACTTGTTTTTACTCTCCCTTGACAAGCATACCTATCCCCACATCTTCCACAATGGCCTTTATGCTGATGAGCCCCCAGTCTGTATTTCAGATCATAGCCTGAATATCAGCCTCATGTTCCCACCTACCTCTTGGGGAGCACACACCTATCTACATGCTGCTGGCAAAGCTGAATTCACCTCTACCATGCACCTGTGGTCCCATGGTCACACCTAGCTTTTAAGTGGAACTATTCCTTAGGTTTGGCCCTATATAGTGATTCATTTTCTCCCTTCCTACCTCCCCTTTCAACAAGGTTCTAAATCATAGAAATTTCATGACTCACGGCATCTCAGCTCCACATTTGTGTTACAATCCCATTCTTTCCAGATATGGACCACACCTACTAACTACAATTGAACAAACTTTCAGCTGCTCTCCAGGACTTGGGCTCCTCTTCCTGTATCAACTAGTTTGTAGGGAGGTGAGGGGAGGTAGGGGGAGGTAGAGGGAGGTGAGAGGAGGTAGGGGGAGGTGGGAGAGGTGGGGGGAGGTAGGGGCAGATGGGGGGAGGTAGGGGGAGGTGGCAGGTTATCCCATGATACACCTCTGAAAGAGTACCATAGTGGAAGAAACAGACCTTGCTGCCTGGGATTTCAGACACTATGGGTTTAGTCTCTCGGTTCCCTTCAGCATGCACACAATTGAAACCTGGTCAATATTTCCTGTTTCTCGTTTATAGCCTATCCCATGTTATGTCTGAGAATGCTAATGTTTTTTGCCAGCTGAGTGGGGTAACACATATCTTTGATCCCAGCACTTGGAAGGCAGAGGCAGGCAAAACTCTGAGTTCAAGGATCAGCCTTGTCTATAGAATGAGTTCCAGGAGAGCCAGGGACACAGAGAGAGAGAGAGACCCTGTCTTGAAAACGACAACAGGAGTCTTTCAGCAGGACCATCCACCTCTGACTGCCACCAGCTCCTGCCTTCAAACACTGACTCCTGGGTAATCGTCTAAGCTCACATTCTACCTGCTTTGTGAAGTCCTTCACCTGACACAGCTCCCTTATCTCACACAAGTTTAATTAGTCAGAGTATCTGAACAAGCTTTCTAGGCACTTGATATACATGTCCAGTGTCTGAATTCTCCACACCGCATGGTCAAATTCAGTTTTAACTGACACTTTTATTATTCACGATAGTACCTTACACACAGTCCCTGTTCAAGAAGTAGTTGCTAAAATGATGAACAAAGAGGGAGCCATTCCCCAGGATTTGCTGCTTAACTGACTTTATTACTACCTCAACTTTCATAGTTAAAATGTATAAAAGTGAAACAATACACAAACAAAAAGCAACACTTTGTAAGTTGGTAAAATTTCCCTCTTGTTTGATAATAAACAGTCCTGGAACAGCCAACTTTAGCTGGTAGAGAGACAAAGGGTATTTTAAGATCCTCTGGAACTTGAGAAGCTTCTGCAAGGCACCCAATTTCATCTTCCAGGAAAGAGGTGTCCGTTTGAATTCCTGCTTATGATTTCTGAGTTGTTCTTAAATAGCAGAGTTGTGGACAGTGTGTACCACTTTAATGAGCTGACAAGGAGACCCAGCTTGCTGTGAAATTATATCTAGGATTAAGATAGTTTAATGTTGAGAGAATAAACAAGAATGTAACTCATGACTCTAGTCTATGAGATTTATCAAGGTGTCCCTACTAAGCTTAGAACCGCTCCCATACTTTGGCTATAATAACATAGTGCCAGCCTCTGTTTTCTGGAATCAAGGCCAGTTCCAAACGTTTGAAGGAAATGATTAGTTTAGCTTGCAGACATCGAGCCTATCTACTTCCATATGGCAAACTGAGGCAACAGTGGGAAATCTGTTTGAATAGATGGATTTAAGAAAGAAACAGAAATGAGAATGGATGACTATGCAGCAGCCATAGGGAACTGCAGTCTCAAGAAGTGTCCTGGCCTTTGCCACTTGTGAAAATAGTTTACTAGCAATACTGTGTTCACCTTCCTGAGGATGGCTGGAAAAGGGGGTTGGAAGAGAGAAAATATTCAAAGAAGGAGATATGATGATAGAAAGATGGGGGAAAGGAAGAAGGACTAGATTTCCATGTGACCAAGCAAGGTGAGCATGCTAGGCTAGGAGGTCAAAGCAAAACTTCTAGAGCAGTTCAGAAACAGAAAAACTTGGTGGTTTTAGTAGGGGATCATATTGTATCCTAAGCCAATCTGCCTTTGTATCCCTAGACAGGGATACAAAGATCCCAAGAACCAGCAAATCAACATTTGGTGACAGCCCCCACCCCACCCCCACTTAACTGGACTCCAAGTATTCCCATACTGCATGATCCTGCCTCACCACTCAGAGATCCAAACTAGACCCCAAGGGAAAAGCAAAGAAGCAAATTTAGTCACTGCTTCATGGAGCTTGAAACCTAAGGGAAGAGTTAATAGACCAGCAGCAAGCAGCTGGAGGTCACTCTGGAATGAAAGCTTCAATTAGGGAGTGCTTTGCGTCAGGCTGCACACGGGAGACAGTGTTTCCACATCCATCAGGGGGAGAAATCAGGTTAGCATCCTTTCAGGTGGGATGGAAGAAAGCCAGCAGCTGGAGAACAGGAGTAGGGCCCTCCCTTTGGCTCACAGCTTCCTGCTGCCATGGCAGCCAATATGAAGACCAGAGGAGAAAGGAGAGCTGGCCCTTGGGACCTGGCAAATGGCAAAGGCCTTTCCTAGTGCTTCACTCACTCGGGCATCTATACAGAAGGTGCTCTAAGATGTGAATACCAGTGTTATTATTACTTTAGGAAAATCAATGTCAACCAGTAGATAGATGGATGTAGTTGGTGGTGGAGAGGGGCAGACTACAAGAGAATGCTAGAGGCTGTTCCACTAGGGAAACTGAAACCCAGAATAGGATCGATAGGTGTCCCCATCTTTAAACTTCAATGCCAACTGGCATTTGGGGTTCAGCAAATGTTTTAAAAAAAGCTTAAATCTTTTCATGCTCACGATGAAAACCTGCAGTTTCTCTGTCCTACACTTATTTGTTTTTGTTTTTTGTGAAAGGATTTCTCTCTATAACCCTGGCTATCCTGAAACTAGCTTTGTAGACTCAGCTAGCCAAGAACTCAGAGATTAACCAGCCTCTGGCTTCCGAGTGCTAGGATTAATGGTGTGTACCACCATACCCAACTTTAAATAAATACTTGAAAAATTACATCACAGAGACTTTAGGTAGCTTGCCTAGGGTCATGCAGAGTTGATATTTTAATCACTGGGGATCAGCCTTCCAGGCTTGTTTTCATCTGAGAATATTTACCCCTATGTTTTTTTTCATACACCAATTTTGGTTTTCCATAATATTTAAGGAGTGTTATTTTCTCATAACGATGATTGTGGAGCAAGTCTCTGTACTTCTCATATCACAACCTGAGAAAAGCTATAGAGGATTCATAAGGTTGACGGTGTGACTGTGGCTGAGCAACAGCCTCTTGTACCTGTCCAGACTCCCTTCAGCATCTTCTGAAATGAGATGCAGCCTCAAGACAGCCTCTTGCACTTGCAAAGATTCCCTTCAGCATCTTCAGCATTGAGATACAGCCTCAAGAGACCACTCTTTTTATTTTCCACTATTCTTGTGAGAGCCACACTGGGCCTTATTTCCTCTGTGAAATTAATATTGTCAGGATCTATGATTTTATTATTGATATTATTAGTATTGACAGGATCTATTCTAGAATCACCTAGAAGACAAACCTCCAGCTATATTTGTGAGAGAGTTAGCTGAGGTAAAAGAGCCCACCCCAAATGACGACTTGTTCCATGGTCTGGAGTCAAGAACTGAATAAAGAGGAAAAAGCAAGCTGAGAATCAGTATTCATTGTCCTCTGCTTCCTGACAGCAGCTGTGTCGTGACCAGTTGTCGACATCTCCTGCCACCACGATAGACTGCACCCTTGA